TCTCAGTGGATGTATCATTTAAATTCTGCAGCCTTTCAAAAACAGACGTTTAGGATATATAAGTCACACTAATGATAGACTCTTTCAACAAAATTTCCTTAAAGCGATAAAATAAGATGGTTGAAGAAATTTAAGCACTTATGCATCCTCTGCCAATAGTACTTGTTCCAACCCACGACCACGAAGAGTCACACCGAATCCAGTGGATAAAATCAAAGTTAAATCCACTACTCACTCCACTTTTAAAATTACTCTCGAATGGTGAGTTTTATCTAAATTACAGCAGTATCAAAAGCAGGTTAGATAGTTCCTACGCAATTCCAAAATGAAGAAGGATCACGGATTAGGAGGTGTCTGTTGCTGTGACTTGACAACTGCACAGCCTCGTTCGTCGCTTCGGCTGTGTGTGTGCCTGTTTGTGTACAATCAGAGCCACAAAAGCGTGAAAATATGTCACAAGGGCTTACATTTATCGACACCAGCCCACCTGTGCTGCCTCATCAACATCCCTCAAGGAAGCGCAGCAGCGCCAGCAGTGATGGTGCCACGTGCGCGCAGCTGTTCCGGTCTCCCCCTCTTCCCACTCTGCTAGGAGTAGGTGGGGCACCCCAGTCGCCAAATCCGCTCCCCTCCCTAATTCAGCTTCACTTCGAGTTTTACTTTGAACTTTTTAAAGCTCTCCAACCCCCTCCCCATGGCTAAAAATTTGAGTGCGATAAAATTTTAAACTCGTGTCTTTGTGGAGGTGAGAGGAGGAGGAGGTTTGATGGATTGCTGACAGAAGGCGTTCCTCGAATCTGCAGCAGGAACAATGCAAGAATCATGATACGCCGGAGTCTACTTTTTTTGTTACCACTTCTGCATAAAATGGAGATGAGTTTCTGTACTCAGTGCCTTTCCCCCCCCCCCTCCCCCCCATATAAATTCTAAAGTCAAGAGAGAACGACTTCCATCCCTCCGTATGCAATCAGTTCATCTGGGTAAATTTATTGGTGGCTGACTTCCGTCTTAAAACCTCATTAAGTTGCTTGGAATTTTCGTAAAAATTAAAGTTTTCAACTTGAAAAGTAGCTCCGATCGCCTCATAATAACTCCGTGTAGTGTCTCGTGGAGATATGCAGTGGCCACGGTTGCCTGTATGCATGCACCATGAAAGGGCATTGCTGAAAACGCCTCGGTCTGTCTGTACGGTACCCGAACCAGTGTGCACGAACTAGGCACCATAGTTGCAAAAGATTCTCATGAAACTTGTTTAGCGTTTGCAGAAGGCGTATCAGCAGAAAAAATGTTTCTAATCTTGGTTCTAATGTGGTACACTGCAAGATGGACGAAATTTTTTTCTGGAGGCCCTTTTATTCTTGAGTAGAATAGAGAGTAGCGTGACACTTTTGAATTCAACATCTTGACATCTATAGGTAAAGGACAACCTCTAGCAACGTTAGACGCGAGTGAACTGGGAAGNGGAGTCTTGTGGATCAGCAAATAGCCCTANATCCATTGATAGATAA